TGCAACTTATTTCGGAGCAAGGCGAATTGAGACAACAGCAACTCAAAACCGGCCCCCGTACCCCTCCTGGGGTCCATACGCACCAGTTTCACGAGGTGCGTCCAGCCGCGGCGACGAGGGGGACCCCCCAAAGGCCAACTTCCGTTGTCTCAACTCGCCCTCCTCTGATCCTCATGGTTTTCGGGCCGTAACTCGGGTCTCAGGTGGCAGTTCGGGTCGATCCAGACAGCCCTGGAAAGCCCTCGGCGAGGCGTAGCTGCCGGAACGCATCCCGAGGCCCCCAAATCATGGAGAACCAAAGAAAAAGCCGGAGGAACCTGCTGTTGTCTCGACTCGCCCTCCTCTGATCCTTTCCCAGCCCTCGTGCCACGAGACTCCCCCTCCGGGTCCTCGAGAGCGTTCAGGCGCCGCGCGTGCAGCTTGTCCTCCAGCCTCTTCTTGGCGCGGTCGGCCACCCTGCGCGGCGGCTTCTCCTCGTCGGACTCCGAGTCCCTGCTGGCGCCTGCGCGCCCACGCGCCGCCGCAGCGGCGCCGACACCCGAGAGGAGGCGGAGCCTGGGCGGAGCCCCGAGAGAGAGCGAGCGAGCGAGCGAGCGGCGGACGGCGCAGCCGCCCACAGGCCCAGAAGCGATCCCCGGCGACTGCCTTCACGCTGCGCCCGGGCCTGGCAGGCGCTGTCAGGGAGCTGCCCATGGGCACCCCAAGCACCAGCCTGCCTCGGCGCTGCCTCGGCGCTGCCTCGGCGCTGCCCAGGCCACTGGCGCTGCCCACGAGCCCAGAGCATGCCTCCTGGGCCCCTCGAGGCGCAAAAGTTGCTGCTGTCGCCGGCGTCGTCGTTGGTGCCGTCGCCGTCGCCGCCGTGGCGGTCGCCATGGTGGTCGCCGTGGCCAAACATGGGCGGAGCCACTCCGAGTCCGAGCCGCCTCTGGGGCCGTCGGCGGACTCATTCCAACCCCCATCTGCGCTGATCTTCTCAACGCCCTCGTCTCGATGATGCTCCTGCCTCTCACGGCATCGTTGCAAGGTCATTGTCGGAAAAACTCAGCTGGGCGGGCGGCTCTGAACGGGAGATGCAAGACGAGTCCTGTTCGATGTGGCCGCTGCGGTACGGCATGGGCGGGGGAGCTTCGGAAAAAGGCCTGCTTCCCCTCCTCCCACTCCTCCTTCTGGAGCAAAATCCACGCCGCTTGACGCAAGACAATGGGGCAACAACCGTGGGGGCCACACGCCCATCAAGTGAGACGGGAAACCCGCTGGGGTATTGTCCCTCCGGTGCACAGAGGAGGAAAAGGTCTCTGTTCAGTGCCCATGCGTCAGCCACCCACAAGTTGTCGTGGTATCCTCCGGGCGCCCTGAACAGATCTCCCCGACGACATGTTAAGCACTCTTCGGTATGGCCGAGCCTTTCTGCTACTCGATGTTTAACAACTGGTAACTACGAGCGCGAGATACTCGCATGTGGCCTCCTTCTGGGAAAAGGCTTTGGTGGCCGTGTCCGCCACCCAAATGGGAACGCCCACAGAAAACCCGACCAACGACTAACAAGGAGGCACATCCTCTCAGAAAAAAGCGGGCGAGACACGAACTTGACCCGAATATGAATCAATAAAGCACGCATTCCACTAAGGTTCCAACTACTTATTTATAAAACTACCCGTGGCGTTCGGTAATTACGAGATCGTCTGAGCTTGCAAGACAACAAGAAAGGATGCCACAATAGGAGCGGGACAACTAATTAGACCATCTCTGAACGTCATGTACAGAATAGTGTTGACAGTAAGCGGCAATGCGATCGTGGGGTGTGGTGTTCGAGAGGGACGGGCTGGCACGTACGCCGCACCCCATCTTTATGCGCTTCGCTAAGAGGGAATTACGCAAATCATCGAAACCGCACGAAGCTTCCGACTCGTGCGCGTCGCAGAGGGCATTGTAGGGCAAGTGAAAGCACATCATCATTTTCACGACGCGTGTGGTCGCGAAGACATGCGACATCCTGACAAGCGCAGGTCGCAACGGTTCTAAGCGATGCGATCGTCCTTCTACCCCATCTCGTTCTCCTTCTCCTCCTCCTTCGCCTTCTCCTTCTCCTCCTCCTCCCCCACTTCCCCTCCTCCTCCGCCTCCTCCTTCTCCTTCTTCATCTTCCTCCTCTTCCCTCTTCCTCCTCCTCCTCCTCCTCCTCCTGCTCCTCCTCCTCTTCCTCTTCCTCCTCCTCCTCCTCGCCACCTCCACGAAACCCATAGGAGTAGTTATGACCAGGAGCTTTTGCACAGCGTGTCGCGCCACACGGATAGCGTGCCGCTCCGCTCCGCATGGCGGGAGGCTGGCAACAAAAGCTGGAGAAATTGGCGCCTGGCAGCCGGGCCGTGGTTGGCGTGTCGAGCCGAAGCGTGGTGAGCCAGAACCGGCGGAAAGACACGCTGGGCAGACGCTCCCGACCGTACCACCCGAGGCAAGCACGTGCAGACTTCTGCAAACACCACCCACGCCGCTCAATCAAAAGAGGTCCTCGCTTGTCCGTGCCCGTGTCTTTCTTGGCCTCAGGCGCCCCGCGACGGATCAAGAATCATCGCGCGTGACAGCGATCCCTCAACGAGGAGGACCTAGAAGCATCCTGATAATTCCACTGATCCTGGGGACGAGCACGAACGGTGGTACTGACGGAATAACGAGACGCTCGTAATGAAACGATATTCAGCAGTCTTCCTAAGATAAACTAGCATGGGAACACATGCCTCTCCGATCAGGAACGTCGACAGACCGCATTCGCAGTCTGACCGAGTGCTGTCACGATTCGGACTCTGCTGTGCAGCACTGTCACGCTGGCCAGATCCGCCACTATACCCCGTGGCACGTTCTTTTCGTCCGTGGCGAGGCGGCGAACTCCGCTCCAGCGAGAGGCTAGCAAGGGGCACTAACAAGCGAATTGGCGAACCCCCTGGCACGTTGAGGTATGGTAGAATGCCAAGTGCTGCCTGATAAGGTTTGGGTTATCTTCTAAGGGACCCGCCTCTCTACCCGCGGACCGCTGCGTGCATCATCCCCCCCTTCGGAAGCCTTCTGAGCTGCCAGACGGCCCACTGGCGCTCTCCAGGGCGTCAAGATGCCCAAGATGGCTTCTACTATGGCCCAGGCAAACTGCCCAAACTACAAAGAAAGTCCAAGATGCCTCTATGACGGCCCACGGTGACCCCCAGACGGCCCAGTATGGCCTCAAGACTGCGCGAGAAGCCTTCAAGACGGCCCAAGAGGGCTCCAGGAGGGCTCCAAGAGAACCTCCAGGAGCGCCCGAAGAGGCACATATTATTGAATTGCCAAAGGTATTTTTTTCGTTTTGTTTGAATTGCGTGGGTGTTCGCATAATCACCTTTTCGGGCTTCCGGCAATTTGAAACTCTCAGGAAGCCTCCAAGATGGCCTGTAGACGGCCTGAAACGGCCTCACGAGGACCCCAAGACGGCCCAAGAGGGTTCCAAGATGGCCCCAAGAGCGGCCCAAAAGGACCCCAAGACGGCCAAAGGGAGCCCAGACGGCCCGGAAGGTCCTCAAGAGGGCCCCAAATCGACCCAGAGAGACCCCCAAGGCGGACTCCGAAAGCCCAGACGGCCCACGAACACCCTCAGATTGACCAAGGAGCCCCGAAGTTCCTCCGAGGTGTCCCCAAGACGCTACCGAGAGGCCCCCAAGAGCCTTCCAGAGGCACACGTGACGGCCTTCTGTGCCCCCTCGGATAATCGCCACTCAGAGTGCTGGGCTGGCACGGTGGCGGGATTTGCCGCAAGCAGCTGGCCGCCACCATATCAAGCGTCAATCATCGACGCTCGGCTCCCTCCGCTCGGCTTAGTGGAACAAACATATTAACGCAATACCATACTCTCGACCGACCAAGAATATTACGGATCAAAGAGCCCGTATCAGACATGCTGCCAAATATATCAAAATGGTGATTCGCACCAATGCAGGTGCTGCAATCATAGAGCGCACAGTGGTTCATGTCACACTGATAGCAGCAAGTGGACCGTACGTTTGCTGCTCAAGTGCAACATCCAAGCTGTTGTAGTGCGAGCACGAAACAAAGCTTAACCCGGCCAGACAAGTACAAGGAAGAAGAGCAAGAACATGACGAGGTTAGGGAAAACGGAAGCGGGGAGGTCTGTCAAAATGGAAAAACCACAACTGCACAAAACCGGCTGGGGACCAGAAGGCGTCCGACCCGGACGTGTCTGGAAGGTATGATGACGAGGAGGAAGGGCACTGGCTTGGGCTTGGGCAGCACGGAATACCAGCCTCAGCTTCGGTGGCAACTCATGGGAGCCTCCCATACCATCTCATCGGCTCTTGCGAATCGACGCTAAGTCGACGCTAGATCGGCGCTATCTCATTGACTCCAGACGCTAATCGACGCTAGTCGAGGCGAATCGGCGCTAAAGACGGGATCAAGAGGGTATACCAAGCTCCCATGATTTGCTACCGTACCCAACCTCTTCTCCCAGGCCGCCTGGCGTCGCTCTCCGCGCTGCGCGGGGTGCGGGGCGCGGTTGTCCTCGCGCTCCCGCGCCGCACCGCGGGTGAAGAGCAGCTCTCCGGAGCCAGACGGGAAGAAGGCGAGGCGCGGGTAGTTACCTGCCCGCCCCTTGGGATGGCCCAGTCCCTGTGTGCTCCCTCTGTGAAACGTGGCATTTCGGTGGGCCCTGGGCGGTGGGATCGGAGGCAGCTGCGCCCCCGGCCAGGACGTTCACGAGGCAGTCCTTCGCGGCGCACAGGCCGACGAACACGAGGCCGGAGCTGCTCTCACTGAGACCTGAGGGGCACCCACCTCCAAGTCAAGTTCTTTTGTTTTGTGCTTGTCTGTCCTTTTCTTACAAGTCAGAAGCTCGACGTTTCTGCTGAATTGTTTACACTAAACGATGACTCTTGTTGCCCCCCCTACAAGCGCCCTGTGTTTCGGGGGACCGCCGAATCGCATCCCCATCAACAACAATGTTCCCGCTCGATACTTCCTCCTTTTCTACTCGGGACCAGGGCTCTTGCTCGCCGCCGACCGCCAGCTTCCCAACAGCACCGGCGCTCACGCTCGATACTTCCCTGCTTCTTACGCAGGACCGGCGCTCCCCAACAACACGCTCCCGCTCTTAGACAAAACCGGTGCCCTTGCTCGCCGCCGGAAGCCCTCTTTCCAACAGCACCGGCGCTCCCGCTCGACACACTTCCTTGTTGTTTACTCACTCAGGACCGGGGCTGCCCCCTCGGCGCCGCAGATGGCCCCCCCTGCAAACAATGACGCCCCCGTGAACTCCCAGGAGCTGCATCCGAAAGTGTATGTGTACCCGTCGTTCGTGTCTAATCGTGCTCATCTCTAACTGTGCTCGTTTCTAATTGCTCCTGGCCCCCCAGAGGCCAGGAAGAGGCCCAGGCACAGCCTCCGCTCTTCTTCAAGACCCCAGGGGGCCCTGGGGCTCACGCTCAGGCGTCTCGGGGCGGGGCCCCCGGGGGGCTCCGCGGCTGTCCCCCCCTTGGGGCGCCCTGGCGCTTGCGCCTCGGAGCGCCCGAGCCCGCGGCGGCGACACCGTCGTCGTCGTCGTCGTCGTCGTCGTCGTCGTCGTCGTCGTCGTCGTCGTCGTCGTCGTCGTCGTTCGTCTCCTCCCCCCTCCCTTTCCCCCTCCTGCTCCTCTTTCGTCGTCGTCGTCGTCCTCCTCCTCCTCCTCCTCCTCCTCCTCCGCCTGTTCCTCCTCCCCCTCCTCTTCCTCCTCCTCGTCTTCCTCCTCGTCCTCCTCGTCGTCGTCGTCCTCCTCCTCCTCCTCCTCCTCCTCCTCCTCCTCCTCCTCCTCCTCCCCCTTGTCTTCTTTCCTCATCCTTCTCCTGCTCCCTCCTCGTCTTTCTCCTCTCCCCGAGGCCCAGAAGCTCCTCTGATCCAGGCTGTTCGCAAGAACGTCCTGGCGCTACCTTCAATGAGGCCCTGGAACCCTCTCAGCTCAGCTTTGAAACGTCTCCCGGGGGCCCTCAGGTTTCCCACAGCGGCTCTGAAGCTTCGCTGAAAGGCTCTTGGGGTTTCTAGAGAGCCCCGGAAGCTCGCCAACGGGCTCTGGGGGCAGGGCGATTACGAAGCCGATGTGCCATTCGGGCAGGAGATGCTGGAGTGCCTCGGAAGAGGTGTTGTCAAGACCTCTTCGGGCGAAAAATCTGGGTAAGGGAATCTGGGCCACCCTTGAGCAGGAAAATGCCCGATGGAAGGGGAACATCATGATGTATGCATGCTGCATTCATAATCATAAAACAGTCGGGCCGCACGATTACTGCGGTTGCTGCTGCTGTTGTTGCTGCTGTTGCTGTTGCTGTTGCTGTTGCTGTTGTTATTGTTGTTGCTGTTGCTGTTGCTGTTGCTGCTGCTGCTGCTGCTGTTGTTGTTGTTGTTGTTGAACATTATTAATTCTAAAAAATGATTATTGTTGGGACCCCTGGTGCACGGCCCCCCCGCCGCGCCTAGGCCGCAGCTACATTTTCATCATTTTTTCGCGAAAGCTTCAGAAAAGTGGATGGGGTCCAGATCCGGTTGTTTTGTTGTAATCCGTTTTCCCTTGCAAAAAACACTATAAAATGACATTTCTTGTTCTAATATAATCAAATTTCAAGAATCCCTTGCAAAAAATAAGGTAAAGTGGACATTCGCGCGCGCAAGACGAAATCCTTCCAAAAGCTTAGTGTTCGGAACGATTTTAACATAAAAACATCAAAAAACCAATGGTTTTTCAACAAAAAATGTCAAAATCTCATCCCGCGCGCTCTTGCGGATTCGTAGGAAACCCAACACTTTTTAAACATTTCTGTCAAACGGGCTTTTGCGAGCAACTTTTTCGAACTTCTGCAACAACGGTTGCGCACCTGCCAGGGCCATCATCCCTGTCAAATAATACCATGCGGGACACATTCGTTTTTTCTTCGCGCGCGCACGCCGTCGTCGTCGGCCGCGGGGCCCTGAATAGTAGCCACGGTCGTCCGCATGCCACGAAGTGAAGTGTCCGAACGTCATAGGGCGGGAAGCTGGGTGTGGGTGGTGGCGAAGAGTCGTTTGGAAATTTGGTAGAGCTTGAACCGGCCCCCCACAAAGTGGGGGTATTGCCCGCCTCCTATGAAAACCCTGGCACTGGTGAGAACGGAGTGTCCCCACGTGCTAGTAATTGTTGTTGTTGTTGTTGTTGTTGTTGAACCTTAATTACTAAACAATTATTATTGTTGGACCCCCTATACTCGCCCTGGCGCTCTCGCCGAGGCGCCGGCTGCATTCCCTTTGAAATTGAGGCTCACGCTCAGGCGTTTCGGGGTTCCGCCAAAACCGGCCCCCCAACAACAACAACGCTCCGGCTCGACTCGAGAGTTCCTCCTTTTTTACTCGGGCTCGGTGCTCTTGCTCGCCGCCGAGAGCCCTCACCCTTTACTCAAGACTGGGGGCCCTCCGGTCGCCAGGGCTCCGCGCTCAGTCGCCTCGGCGCCCCCGGTCGCCTGTCGCGATCTCGGGTCGCCCGTCGCGCGGCCGCCGCGCGTGCTCCGGCCGGACCCTTTACTCAAGACTGAGGGCCGTTTACTCAAGACTGAGGGCCCGCGGCGGAGCCCGTTTGCTCCCCTCCTTCCCCCCCCCCCCTCCTCCTCCTCCCCTCCTCCTCCCTCCCTTCCCTCCCTTCCCCCCCCCTCCCCTCCTCCTCCTCCCCCTCCTCCTCCTCCTCCTTTCTCCTCCTCCTCATCCTCCTACTCCTCCTCCTCCTCCCCCTCCTCCTCCTCCTCCTCCTCCTTCCGAATCTTCGCTCCTCCTGCTCCCGCTCGATATTTCCTCCTTGTCTACTCACTTGCGGGTTGGTTTTTCTGCTTGGGGTGCACATATATCATCCACACATTGGGCATTCAGTTGCTGGTCGGGCTCAATACATTATTTGCTCGTGGGTGACATATATCTGAAGCGTGGGCGTTCAGTTGTTGCGCGATAGCGATAGTGCCAGGTGGTTTTGCTTCCAAACACAGGCTCGGGCATTAAGTTGCTGGGCAGTATGGAGCTAAGCCTCTCCGCTCGCCGACGCGTAAGAGTGAGCTTTCGCCGGGCCGACCTTTGGTGCGCGACCAGCGGGGGATTTTTCGTGTTTCCGCGTTCCGGGGGGGATCCTCGTCGCCACGGCTGGGCGCGCCTCGAAAAACTTGTTCAATCTGGACCCCGGGAGGGGTCCGGGGGGCGATCTTGAGAACATGTGTGCGCGCCAAAGGCCTGCCTTGCCAGAGGTCCCTCTTGCGTCAAGGGCAGCCGCGGGGATCACGATGTCTCAGGCGGGCACTGCGCCCGAGATAGGTGGCGGACACAGCAACTCATCGCCCCCCAGCCGCCGTGCGATGCATTTGGTGGCCGCGCCGCGCCCGCGTTCCCTGCCGCGAGCAGAGCGATCCCATCGGTTGCGCGAGCTGCGTGTAGCAGCGGCTCTCCGTAGTTCGGCGGCGAGCCCAGGGGGGAAGTGAGAAGGAGCATGCCTTCTCAGAAGGCGGCGGGCCTTCTCAGAAGCCCGGGGGGCTTCTGAGAAGTTCCCTTGTCTTCGGGGAAGACAGAGGGAACTTGTCAGAAGGCCGGCGGGCTTCTCAGGAGCCTCTGAAGGCCCGCTCCGTCTCCTTCCCCCCCGCGCCCGCCGCCGAGTAGTCTCTCGAGCGGAGGGCAGGTCGCGCGGCCGCCCAGAATTCCAGTTCAGCGATCTTCCCCGCCAGGCACCCCGCCGGCGAGCGAGAATAAAAGGGGGATGTGGGAGCGATTGCGACGCCGACTTCCCTCACCGTCTCCCGTGCTCTTCCTGCTCGTTGCTGCGGCGTCATCGTTCCAAGCGTTCGCTGCTTGCGAAAAATAATGCATGTCGGCTGAGAGTCTGTCCCCGGGCCCTTCCCGGGGCGCATTCGGCGCAGTTCTTCAACCTGGATCCGTCTTTGAAGTTCCCAGAGGCCGCAAGCGGCCCCGGGAACCGAAACAACGAGAACAACGGGGGCGAGGAACACATGTGCGAACAATCGCATAACGTTGCCAGGCGAGTGCAACGCGAAAAATACTATTACGACCACACTTGCGACTATTACTGCTGGCCTTCGGCCCATCCCGCCACCGTGCCTGGGTTGAGGGTATGAGGCTTACGGGATGTTCGTTGGGGTGTCTTGGGAGGCTTTTCGGGGGCTTCTTTGAGGCAGCGTCAAAGACTTTCGGGGGCCGTTTGTGGAGGCCTCTTGGGGGCTGTTTTGGGGCCTCTTGGGGGGGGTGGGGCGTCTTTGGGTTTTTTTGGGGGCTTCTTGGGGCCTCTGGGGAGCTTCTTGGGGCGTCCTGGGTGCCTCCAGGGGCGGAGGGCTCGGATTTTCGGTTCGGGCTCCCCTTTTTGAGCCTCTCCTGGGGCCGTCTTGGGGCTCTCTTGGGCCGTCCTGGGAGCCTCTTGGGCCGTCCTGTGGCTCTCCTTGGCCGTCCTCGGGGCCTCCTGGGCCGTCTTGGCGGGGTCTTTGGGGGTTTCTTGGGCCGTCTTCAACGCCGTGAGGGCCGACAAGTCGTATGTGCTCAAAATGTATTATTTCCCATATGAATTTGACGAGTTTGGCCTCTTGGGGCTCTTTTCGGAGTGCTCTTGGAGGCGTCATGGGGCCTCTTGGGTGCCTCTTGGGCCGTCCTGCGGCCGTCTTGGGTACCTTGGAGCGATCTTTGGGCGTCGCGAGGCCTTCTTGGACCGCCTTGGAGATTTCTTGGAGCTCTTTTGGCCCGTTTCGGAGATTTCTGGATTTCGGACAAACCACGCGAGAAACCCC